TTTATAATCGTAACTATTGTGAACAACTAACGGGATTAACCTACTTTTCATCGATCCGGTTTATTTTGTCACAAAACTGTCAACCGATTTTTATACTACTTATTAGCATCTACTACTGGTGACCCTGCTATGTCGCAATTCCCGATATTTACCCACTTTTTCGAAATCCCGAGGGGTGCGACATGGTAGGAGATTGACTGTATAAATATATATCAAGTTTTACGGTTTGTTTTAATTTGCATATGTACGAATCCACTGGCTCAAGGCTTCGAATAACAGGTTCTTATTTAGGTTCGCGCATTTACTATGAAGCAGGTTGCTTAGTAACCTAGAGGTAATTTGTGTATTTAGATATGCCGCTGAAAAATTCGTCATCCTGTCGAATTTCGATGTTTCGTTGGAGACGGACAGGAAGAAATACACAAAGTTACTAGACAGTCGAGGGGTATTCCGTCTTCTAAGGGTCTAAAGAATCCCATAACTGGTTGGTTGGAGACACTTAATGACGTAGTGGCGACTGAATAGCAGTGGCATTTTTGTTATCGTTTCGTATGTGGTGAAAGTACTTTAAAAAGTGTGTATACACATTTATACTACTTTTCCCCCTCCATCCACTGTACACATTCCAACTTTGTGTGTACTTTGACCTTGGCAGCGATCAGCGAGGTTTCACTTCACCGTACAATGATGATGCTTTCCGTTCGTTTGATACTCTCAGCACTGTCCTTGTCAAAATAATACACCAATAAACCCATCGTTTATCGGGAACGCGAATGCCGAATCGAAACCTTGAGATGAATTGGTTCATTCTCTGATAAATTAGTTATATTAAACACAACCAGATTCAACACTGAGTTGGAGTTCACTGAATTTCAAAATACTTGATATCCATCACTTCGTCGTACTAGAAACTCCTGTGTTTTAGTGAAACTAATATGTATGTTTGTTCAAAATGCAGATCGAGGTTTTACAATAAATACAAGTGTTTTTGTGGCAGGTTCACAGGGTATAANTTAGCGAAACTTCCAGACTTGTTACAGGAAGTTGTATTTCCAACCAGATAGTTATATCGCTGCGATATCCGAACAATATCTTTCCATGGCTGTTGCTGTCGAGAAAATCCTTCACACTCCGAGTTTTTCCTAGATATTGCATGAGCACATAGTTCGTTTTGAGCCAGCGGATTCTTTCATATGCAACATCTTTTTTAACTTGTTTTCAGAATTATTGTGATCAATATTCGGAATTCGATTTACTGCTGTCTACATCCTCGAACACACCGGCAACGACTGGTGCTTTAGGCACATCCTCTTCCGGTCAGGCTATAGCCTCGGCTTCCACCAATCAGCTTGTTGCTCTTGGCGCGGCTCGAGCACCGTCGCCGAATAACGCAGCTCTTTTGGCAGGCTCAAAGACAAACATGGACAAAATCGGGATCACAAATCGTGTCGACTCGGGGACCACAGCCCAAAGCACAACAACCAATTTCCTTGTTGGAGGTGCAACTGGCAGTACCGGTGGAGCAACAACTTTGGGTCGTTCTGGTAGTGGAGGTGGCAGTGCAGCAGTAGGCTCCGTTTCACCAGCATTGGCTGCTCTCTCAGTGGGAACTGGAGGCGGGGCTGGACCGTACGGGGCGCTAGGNTGGGAGCGTCTAACTCTCCGAATACAAGTTAGTGCGAATCGCTTCTATCCCATAACTTTATTTTTTGGTCTTTGTTCCCACGTTAACGTTGCCCATCAATTTGTTATACCGTAAACCCATGCAGGCGTTTAAGGTTGTTCCAGCTGCTGTGTTTCACGCTTCTCCGCTCAGTAAAAAATGAGTTTGGGTTTATTAATCATCGAATCAATTTGACTCTGCATCAGTTTTCTTTCACTAAAAGGCTCACTATGACTGGTCGGTTCTGTTTTGCGGTACATCTGAAAACTCACCCGAAATTCAACAACTCAGTGTGCTACCTCGGAGGAGTTCTGCACGCGGTTGTGAGACGGACAGAGCTATCACCTATGCACAAGTACACCATTTCATTTCAGTCGCGACTCACGCAATTCGATCGCCGACTCACCTGGTCCTCTCAGGCAGACGTGCCCAGCAAGGAGCATGTGTTCGTGAATCCGTGAATAGAGCCCTGTGTTCCCATCTCACCCTAAATTTACATATGACTAGAAAGCCTGATGATCAATAGCTTCAGTGGCTACTTAACGTTAGATTTCAGTTTAGGTTTCGTTCTTCTGGGAGGGTTGAGGAGTAATGGGAATATCAGACTGTCGATGTACCACTCGGAGGTTATGGGGCGTTCATCAACTCAGTATCCAACATTCGTGATGGCACCCGAAGAACTGGCTGGTGAGTCTGTTCGTATGAATGTCATCCTGGTGCACCTCATGGGACGGATATGGTTATGATGCATATGACCGCAGTGCAGTATAAAACGATCTAGGATACCACGCTTATCTCTCCCTCTCTCTATAGTGCAAGCGATTGGCAGAGTGACCATGCCAAAATGTGTCTGTGAATGTAACACTTCTCGGTATGCCACCACTATGCTCCTTTCTCAGGATAAACCGGTATCATGAAGTTCCAACTGACCTTGGTGAAACAGACGTTTCTATTGTCACTCGGTTGTTTTCAAAAGTGCACCTCAAGTCTTTGCTCAACCAAGCGTTGACTGTGATCTGGCACTTACCGAGAATTTTTAGGCCTCCGTTACCCTCAACTCGGCTTAGCCTGCCTATCGGGGAGTTTACCTAGTTGACAGGCAGGAGTTAATTAGATGATTTAACCCAAAAAGGGGCACTACACTATTAGTCCAGAGGTGCTACTCGTATCAATTACCCTTGAAACCCCAACGATTATATAAAACCAGATGAGCCACCTACGAATCCATTCAATGGTACACTGATTGCCCACCGGTGGTCTGCATGATGTGTTCGCTTGAAGCGAATGACTCATCGAAATGTGTACAATCGCCCTTTCATTATACTTGGTTAAACACTATAGATTTTCTAATCGAGTGAGATTTTTACCGTAACACCGATGTTATCATTTTAGCAGACTTAATTTTAGCCCCACTCGTCTCACTTTCTGTCACTGTTACGTATATATATATATCACTTGCCGCATATGTTAATCGAGTAATGCGACTCTACATGCACATTCGCAGTTGTTCACTACTAAAAGGAGTTGCATCAAGTGGTCGAACTTCGTGTAATTGACGACTACCAACATCCAGTGTTCGAGCACTATATCATGTAATTTTAATGTAATATCAAATACCGTGGTCAGTCCCGTGATTTGTGGAACTCACTACCTTACATATTCGGGTCCCAATGTTGCAGATATACGCTGCTGATGTCATCTGTAGAAGATGAAACAACTGTAAGGTGCCCCCAAGGTTTTCAAGTAGTGTGTCTATGCGATACGTTGATAAGCTGTTATAAATCACTTGGTAAGCAGTTAGTTTCCACCTACCCACACTTTTCATAAGCTGCTAGACGATTCTTTGTTGCACTCATTCTAGCTAATCCCAACTGTTACACCCAAGCAGCAGGATGCAACAGACTAGAGATAAATTGTGAGGTATGATACTTTTGTTTGTTCTTCCACTTTATATGCAATGGAATCGATAGATGGCTATGCAGATGCAATAATCGATTTATTAGAAGACTGGGACACAGTCACTCAAGCGAAACCATATTATATTTTTATATATTTTCACACACGTCTGAATCCAAACTGTGTGCCAAACAAATCATGGTACAATAATCTTTATGGAAAAGAAAAACGTTCCATGATTTGCATGTGGGCGGAATGTTGCCAGGTTACTCAGGCCAGGGCAGGTGAATTATCTTAAGGAATCCATAACCGGAACCTTTGGTTAGCCAAAACCTGACCCGCAAGGCAGCGGGGCGGTGTGTGAAAACTTCAATCCATTCGGGGCCGGTGTCCAGTTCATCGGATTGTACGCTCTTTGGACGAGGTCAAACCTCCAATCAAGCCGGTGACCTCTGCCACAACCGTAAAGGTGTGGGTGGGGTTCGTACCCCTCCTCATGGTTGGTTTGGAATCAGGGTTTTGGGCTAACTCTCCCAGGTGAACTGCCAGTGGTCCACCCACCCGGTTACAGCCCCGGATGTCGGTTTTTCGTCCTCTCAAAAATACCTCCGCCACTATAAGGCAGTGAGTAGGGCTTCCTCAGCAGAGACTATTCGAGACACTTAGTCATATGAGAGCATTTCGCGAGGTGCAAGGGAAGGGTGCCAGCCGCAACCCTAGACACCCACCCCCGACCATATTGAGCCTGCTAAACCATATTGATAAAAGACAGCTGTGTTGTCGTCCAATAGTTTATTGGGTTACCACTTACCGTTTCATACCAGAATTTCTAGAAGTGCTCATACCTAAAGGAGTTGATTTTATTCTAGCATCTAACAAAAACGTCGAAATTTGTATCCGGTACTTTCAGTGCATCAGCCAACACTCTTCGTTTTCCTCACCTTTCTTTTGTCTCTCGTTAATTCAATCGCCAAACAGATTTCGACTCTGCACATGAGTCCGTAAGCGCCTTGAATCCATGGATTTCCGACAATCCCGAATACTGGAATACTGAGGTCCGGCCGAAATACTTACCTATCCGCCGAATCAAACGCTGGAGTTTCTCCATCCATGAGCTTTTAAAGGATCCTATTGGGTTAGAGGAATTTCAGAGATGGTTGGAAAAGGAATTTTCCGCGGAAAACCTACGTTTTTGGCAAGCTTGTCAAGTATGTTGTTATCTGATCACATTCCGTTGTTTTTGCGCCTTAAGCTGTTGCATAATTTTGGTGTTTAAAACTGATCAAGTACACGATGCATAGTGCTTTCATCTGTGACATTCAGCTATTATCCCCATGACCGTAACAGCGTCACGATTACCCGTAAAGTTTGGTTAGGATTTTCGGTAACAATGCTAAGTGTGAAAGTCGGAAAAAATGGACCGATCGAAAATTTATTCCCTAATGGAATATTTAAACATTTTTTGATATGTTCTGTTCACTAATGGGAACGGGCAGTCCGAGCACTTGTACTCAGGTTAGTGATTTCCCTATAATTCAAACATCGGATTTTAAAACAGTGCACCCGGTTGATCAACCTAAACCGTTCAGCTTCCGTCATCCATCAAACCTTAGCATGAGCTGTCGAGTGTTCCTTTGACGATCGATTTTTCCCAGACCATTTCATGTCATGCAACGAGCAGTGGAAGGCTCACAAAAACGTTATTTTGATGAGAAATTCCCAATGAAACACCCCATCGAATGAACAAGCGTCATGTCTATCGATATTGCTCATTTGGACAGTTGTATAAATGGTCTGCAATCAAAGACAACACGGATAGTGCTTAATTGGTCACCTTGAAGTTGATAAGGTTCCCTTTGTAAAATGGAAAAAAGTCTTCTGAGAAAGTTGTCGTTTTCCATGATAGTGCTCGGTGTCATGTTTCGTGGTATTTGGTAAATTTATTCATTCAAGATGATTGGTTTCGTCATTATTCGCTTGGCTGGGTGTCGTAAACAGTGGCGTTCGTGCATCTCGATTTCTCTGTATCATTAGTCCACTGAACTTTTCAATTTTCTCTTCAATCCTACTTTCAACCTTTCCTGTCTTTCTCCTAATGTTCATCCAAATGGGCAGTCGAAAGATAACATCCAAAACCGGCGCACGATAGTGCATGGTTAATGGTTGTACAACCTGAAACCTGAAACTTCTCCACGAAAAGTGTTTCAGAATGGCTGCAAACATTTGTTTACTACTCCTANNNTGAAAACGCTAACTAGGAATCTGGGTCACATAGGTCCCATTTAGGCTCTCTGGATGGGGACCTCGGGATGATTGCAACCTACGGTTAGAGATACTAAGTGATATGACTGGGTGTCGTAAACAGTGGCGTTCGTGCATCTCGATTTCTCTGTATCATTAGTCCACTGAACTTTTCAATTTTCTCTTCAATCCTACTTTCAACCTTTCCTGTCTTTCTCCTAATGTTCATCCAAATGGGCAGTCGAAAGATAACATCCAAAACCGGCGCACGATAGTGCATGGTTAATGGTTGTACAACCTGAAACCTGAAACTTCTCCACGAAAAGTGTTTCAGAATGGCTGCAAACATTTGTTTACTACTCCTAGACATCCCTGTTCTAATGGACAAGCAGAGAATTTCGTTAGAACATTTAAAAGTGCTATTACTGCTTTGAATCCATCCACATTTTCTGAACCTGAAAGAGGTGTGGATCTGTTTCTTTTACAATATCATAATTCTGTTCATTTATCCACTAAAGAAACACCTACTAGACTTTCAAAAGGTTGTAATTTGAGATCCAATTTATTGTGTATTATGTAAAACATCCTTTTTCTTTTATCCATTTCATCAACACCAGAAGACATATGTGGGCAGAACTGATATTGGTCATCGATTTTGTGTGCTCTCATTCACCTGTCAACGCACATTGATATGATTATGTGAAACGAAGAAGCATAAGAGTTGAAATGAGTCATTTGAACAAAGTGGTGTCCACCACTGTGAATGAACGACTGAGTGCGAAGCCATGACTGGATTATAGAAATCCTGTGGCCAATTCAAGGTGCGGCAAGTGTGATGTGTGATACTGACCTCGAAAAATTCCTTGTACACCCTAAATGCATTAAATATGCATAGTATACGATTCGAATAAAGTACGTGTGCTATTCCATTCGAAGTTGTTCTATTTCGGGGATTAGTATTGCACGAATTTTGGAGCTCCATTTCGAATACTATTCACAATACTACATAGATAATCCCTATAAAAGGGAACGGGTTGATGAATACCAGGTAGAGCTGGATTTCATTCAAACATCAATGGTTTGAAGGTTTTGTGCGGTGAATGGTTATTTATACCACAAATTCACACGGGAAAACGTGTGCGTACAGGTCAGCAAACATGCTTACTTCAAGAGTTTGATTAACTGGTTAAATAATCATGATCAAATTTACAAATGATAGAGGTCTAGCAGTTGAAGTCGCATTTACTGGCGTGTTTTTTAATTCTGAGATATGAACCGTGCCGTCACTGTTCAACTTTTGTGGCAGGCAGTTTTGCTCTCCTCAGATCTATATGATGCTTTTCCTATTGAGGCCTTATGCAGTTCGCTACTCCCAGTCCCAGGGCTTATGTCATCGTTTCCTGAATAACAGATACCCATGACCATGAGCTACATTTCTTATAATTTTCACCACACAAAGCGGAGGAAATAGATCGTAAAACCAACACGTTACAAATAAGCTGGGAACCAAGGGGGATGAATTGAAAGATGTCAAAAAGCGCAACATGGTAGGAATATAACTGCGATGGAAATCTTTGTGGTGACCGACAAAGGGCACTGGACGGCTGTTTCCTCCTGGTTTGGGACTCGTCAGCAGTGTGCACTATTTGCGTCCCTGTCAGTTTGGAAAACGTGCGCAGCTCCGAATTTCAGTTCACTCATTTAATGTCCGGTGTCGAAAAATTGTTTCTGTTTTAAAGAGATAAGTCAACGGGTTACGTGCTCATTAGACATTAGAGTCAAAAAGAAAGTCGAACTGTAAATATGACTTCAGAACCAAATCTTCGTCGAAGAGAATATACATTCCTGGAGAATAAAGACAGCTCCAGGGGTTACTAGCGTGTATCGACCTCTCAGCATCACATTTATCGGCTTTGCCTCGTTTTAAATCAATTTAATCTTTTTCTCCTCCCTTCGATAACGGTCCGTCATGGTTTAATCAAGCTGATAGGGGTAAAAATTTGTTATCGATTAAATATTGAGCACTCCTGTCCACTAATGGAAACCAGTCGTTTAAGATCTTCCTCACCTTTTGTTTATTAATAGACTTATAAAATTGGTTACTTTGGTGTCATTGGCTATGGGAACGCAGTGTTTCTCAGGGACCGATTGCATCAGTTTCGATTAAACCATCATTGTTTGGCTCAGTGGGCTGTGTAAAGAGAGAGAAGCCAAAACTAGCACACGTTTTATGGTTGTGTGAAATGAAATTAAAAATGCATTAGATTGTAACATTTACGGAGTTTCAAACGACACGGGGACTCTCTGAGAATATTAATGAAACCTCTGGCTCGAGCATTCCAGATAATTAGCAGAATGCAAATTTCTTTGTGTCACTGAAAACTAGCAATGCCTCTATCCGAGCCGGGTTTGTAGTTTTGTATATATCGTGTTCGAGGTTTTTAAGTCAATCTGGCTAACTTTCAGTAGTCTTCGATGTTCGAAATTTGAGTCCCATTATTTCGTTCCGTTTCCCTTGTATTGCTTTGTCATGCTATAATACGCGTTATTGTCTCAAAAATGAGTAAACCGAAATTTGACAATGTAAATCGATGCAACGTGGTGATCAGCTATGCTCATCAAT